CACAAGCATCTGAATGAATGTAAAAGTAAACTCACTGCTATCAGCTGCTCAATGGTGAGGAAGTCGCTGAAGTTGGTGTCTCTCCTGTACCCCCATGACTTCTTGTCAATGGTCATGCAGTTCTCCCACTTGTGTTTCAGCAGGTGTCCGGGGTTGTAGCGATCTGAGCAGGTGTAATATCCGCCATGCTTACATATAGTGCCACATCCCCAGCGGTCATTGGTCACAACAGTGTCACGCACAGGGCTGAAAACACACATTAGCCATCGGTTCGGCTACACGACAGCAAAGACACCTTCACTTAGAAAGTTCCAGTATGTAACCGGTTTCCATTCTCTAAGATTATATTTATGATCTAGCAAATTTACAAAGCAAGATCCAAGATAAAATCTAAATTAAGGATCTTTTAGATCATGTAAATCACAAAACATAATGGTTTTACAGTAGAAGTTTTATCAGTGATTGATTTTTCTGAGGCTACACTCTGGTGATCATTTTAAAACAGGATAATGTTTTTTTTTACATTAAAGTGGTATTAAACTTGCTATATGAATAAAAAAATTTGTTAAAATGGTCTTAAAATAAAATGGGAAATTAATGCGAAATATGGCAATTTTTGGGGTACAATCTACAAATCAGAAAGGATGACGTAGTCTTCGATCATGTCTAAATATCCAAATACAATGCAAAACCTAATAAAAGTAATTATAAAATGACATGCATGTATTTCATAGGGCCATACAGGCATCTAGAGGTTATACCATTGTATGCCATGATTTTCTTTATTTTATTCCCATCAATCTGCTTTCAATGCAATGGATTTTAAATAACGTTGCTACCTATTTTTAACTTAAACACAGTATTAATAAAAAAATAAAATAAAAAAATAAATACATTTTAAAAATATATATATATATTAATTTGTTTTCTAATATTTGTATTATTTTATATAGAAATAAATAGTGTATAATTTAGAGGTGAATATCATCTAATACGATGAAATCCTCTCAAAAAACATTACGCTTATTGTCTATGTGCTGTATTGACCACAAGGGTCACAATTACACCAGAATAGCAGTGGGTTAAAGGAATGAAATAGACTTTGAATTGGATATTTTTCTCTATCTGTTGGCTTCTCGGTTTCAACCTCACTGTGTAACTATGAACAACACTTCTGTTTATGTGGCCTTACCTCTCGTTATAAAGCCAGGCGAGGAACCCTGTGCTGTTCCAGTAAGAGTCGGGCGCATCTCCGTCACCATCAGACCACAGCACCTCAGGTTTGTACTTGTTGACGATCTCGTACAGTTCGGGCAGGGTCTTTGTGGTAGGAAACACACTGGTATTGAAGGACTTGTCAGCATCAGCTTTGTACAGAGGGTTAAACCACTCAAATAAAGAGTGGTAGAGACCCAGACGCAAATCACTGTGTGCCCGCAGAGCGGTGGCGATCTCATCCACCAGATCCCGCTTCGGCCCGACATCCACTGCGTTCCACATCCACGAGTACTTCGAGCCCCATAGTGTAAACCCTGAGGATTTGAAACATATCTGTGGGTGAATCTCACAAAAGCATGTTTGGGTAATATATATACACTGCCGTTCAAAAGTTTGGGATCAGAACGATTTTTATTACTTTTTAAAGAAGTCTCATGCTCATCAAGTCTGCATTTATTTGATCAAAAATACAGAAAAAAATTTAATATTGTGAAATTTGTGAAATATTATTACAATTTAAAATATGTGTTGTTTATGTGAATATATTGTAAAATATAGTTTATTCCTGTGATGCAATGCTGAAATTTCAGCATAATTACTCCAGTCTTCATTGTCACATGATCCTTCAGAAATATTATCAATGTTGGAAACTTTTTTTTGGGAACCTGTGATACTTTTTCAGGATTCTTTGATTAATAAAAAGTACAAAAAGAACAGCATTTACTTAAAATAGAAATCTTTTGTAACAATATACACTACCGTTCAAAAGTTTTATTCAGCAAGGATGGGTAAAATTGATAAAAAGTGAAAAATTATATTGTTACAAAAGGTTTCTATTTTGAATAAATCAAGCGTAGCGTTAGTTCTGGCAGGTCATGTTAGTCAAGCTCGCATCAGCTGACCCCCTCTACCTATGGGAATACGACACCTATCTAAGCATTCATATATAAGGTCCCTCAGTATTATCAGCAGTTTTCGCATTGCTCAATAGCTAATTACCCTCCTCCATCCCCAGCTCCTCCTCTGTCAGTCAGGATTCAGCCTTCTGATTCTCCTTTGAATCAGACTAATTCTAAAATGTGTACATAACATTATTGAACTTTAACGATATCTGCAATACATTTATGTTGGTTCTGTTCTGTTTACCCTGGGGGTTATCGCTGCTCACCCTGCTCTCATCCATGCTAGGCTGCATGGATGCGCAGGGAGTTCTTGCCCAGAACAGAACCATACCGCCAATCCAAACTGTATGCTAATTGTCAATCATCTTTGACGATAGTGGTCCTGACAGAAATGAAGATTTGCTGGAAATGTCCTCACCCTCAAGCCATCCAGGATGTAGATGAGTTTGTTATATATATATATATATATATATATATATATATACACACACTGCCGTTCAAAAGTAAAATATATATATTATTGTGCATTCATGACAAAATTATGCATCTTCTCTCCTATATTTTCTATATAATTTATTTGATTGTCCTGAGATGACTCCTTGAAATGTCAATAAGTATAAATTGTATAATTCATAATTCATAGTGCTTACTTCCAAAAAACGAAAATGTGGCACTATTTTAGAGTAAAATTACATAGAATGCAATGTTAAACCATTTACTGTTTTACCATTTTCATTGTATATGGTAAATTATCTTGTGGTTTTTCTGTAGACTTTATTTACAGTATTTTTCTTACAACAATTATTACAGTGTAACTATATAAACTAATTACAGTTGACAGATGTGAAAAAATTAAATACACTGCAGTCGGTGCAAACCTTCATGGTGTTTGGTTGTGAGGACAATATATTTGGCTCCAGACGAGGCAAAAATGTCAACCCACTCTTTAGGATCAAAGAATTCAGCCCGGAACTGAGGAGCAAATTTTGCGCAGGTGAAGCCGGGTGGGTAATTCTGCTCCATAAACTTCACATAAGACGGCAGTTTCTGGCCCTGCCAATACCACCTGTTGGAAAACAAAACTATTAAGTACAATTAACCTCAAATATATAAACAGAAACATAGACAAAGTGACCAGCCTCCACTGAAACGGCTCCTTTTTATAAAAGTGTACCTGTCAAGGCTATTTTTATCTTGAAATAAATAGGAAAATTATAGTTTGATTAAAGAAATTGAAGCTTACTTTGTAGGACCATTTGGATATTTTGCATTGCATTCTAACACTATTTTTATGAATGTTATGCACAATGTAATGCAAAATCAAATTCTTACTACTGTAATGAGGAAAAAATTTATTTCACACATCATTAGTATTTTACTTTAATTAAGGTTAGTTTACTTTTGTATTACAGGCATGTGGAAATGTGTTTAACTGCGTGAAAATATTGTCACTTTTTTTTGTGGTGATTTTATGATGTTTTGTTGTTCTCAAATAGTACACTACCACAGTACAGTGAAATATCAGATGGAACTTTAATATACCATATTATAACTGAATGATAAACATATGTTATTTACATCGCAATCGAGGGTATTTCAAACAGTACTGTGGTCTTGTTGTTTCTGGTGCTTTTTTGTTAGTGTCAGTCGCATTGTATTCGTGCTGATGCTTTTTTGTAGACTTACCAGAACCATTCACTGCCATAGCTGGGAACTGAAAACACTCCCCAGTGAATGAATATGCCGAATTTGGCTTGATCGAACCATTCCGGTAGAGGTCTCGAATCAATAGATTCCCACGTAGGCGCATATTGACCAACAGAGCTGCCAATCAAGAGTAAATAAAGGGGGAAAACACTCCACTGATACATTGTGCTGCTACTGTCCCTTATTTACAGGCATCATAAGAGGGTTGTTTCAAATCACATGATGTTGTTGTCTACATAAACACAACACGTGATTGGTTGCACATCTGCCAAATGACAAAAAAAAAACTTTAAAATACAGAAACTGCTGAAGCTTCCACATATTGAAACCGGGAAACAAGCCAGCATGAACGCCTCTACCACAACTGTTGCCAACTAATTTTCAGGGGAAGTTGCTAAAGGAAGGTCGATTTATTGTTGCTAAAAGTTGCTAAATGACGTGATGTCATTGTAAAATGGGAACAAAACTCATCTCCAATCACCTGTGTGCAGAACATGATTGGAGAGATGGAAAAGGAGAAAAACACAAGAGCTTCAAAGAGGAGCTGTAACAAAGCCACATATTTATAGCCTACTAAAATATAGGCTATTCGAACCATATTTATTCTTAGTATTAGTATAGGACGACTTTTTTTTTATTTTATTACAGCCCGTGATAATTAATACATTACAAAAACATTGTAAAAATTTTTTCTTGAATGAGGGGAAGGAAGGGGCGGAACATTTGGCAAATTACGCTGCAGCACCGTTTTTATACAGTCTATGTGCAGCACTTATAATATTGCACTGGTTGGCTATTAACTGCAAGCAGACAGAGTTTCATGTCATTCAATGCACTGGAGAATACGGCGAACATAAATAAAGAAACGAAGTTGCTTGTCAGATTTCCCTAACAAGCAACCATATTTTTTAAAATAAGCCCAAAAAACCGCAACCCGCGATTTTTTCAAGCAACTTTTTAAAAAAAGAAGCCAAAGTCGCGTATAATACGCGGACTTGGCAACAATGGCCTCTACGGCGAAGGCTTATGAATATTAATTACGTACCACGACGACGTTCGCCGAGTAGTTCTAAATGACGATTGGCTGAACGGCGTGGAACGCTGGGTGACCTAATTAATATTCATGATATAAACCTTCCCCCCTTGTGGGATTCCGTCACATCCGGTTAAGCTGTTTATATGTCTGCTGATCTGTCGTTTTGAACGATCTGAAAAATATAAACCCATGCAAGGATATATCGACTGTCACTGTCATATATCTGCCGAGGAATTTGACAGCGTAAGAGATACAAGTGCAAGGTTCATTCAGTAATACTATGAAACTCTCTGAGGAGTTCGCTAATGATTGTGTTTTATATTTTAGGACATCGATGATGTCATTCAGGAGTCTAAAAAGGTAGCTCTGTTAGTCTGTATTCTCTTTCAGGATGTTATCATATTAAGAGTGCAATAATATTGTTTCATTTTTAGGCTGGGCTTGTTGCCCTTCTTGCAGTAGCAGAGCATGCTGGTGAATTTGAGAAAATTATACAGCTCTCACAAAGGTATATCTGATATCTTACTACATCATATTTTTAGCAAACTCAATATTAAGTGGCTTTAATGTTTTATAGGTTCCCAGGATTCGTCATGCCATGTCTTGGAGTTCATCCTGTCCAAGATCCAGCACAACCTAGGGGTGCCTTACCCGAGGTCTGAAATATGTGCATATAAAGACACAATTATTTTATTTACTGTCTTACACCTGACACTGTTTCCTTCTTTTCTACCCCACAGGATTTAGATGCAGCATTACCACTGATCGAGAAATACAAAGAGCACATTGTGGCTATTGGCGAGGTTAGACATATATTGTATGTCTAACTAGTTGTTCTTGTGGGTTATAGGTAGAGAATAGACTTATGTAGTAGATAGGAATAGTTCATTACATAACTTGCTCACCAATGGATCCTCTGCTGTCAGAATGAGAGTTCAAATGATTAGTGTTATGATGTTTTTATAACGTGTATCATCATGTACAGGTTGGCCTGGATTTCACGCCACGTGTAGTCAACAATGATGCTGGGAAAGTCGGTCAGAGACAGGTGCTCATTCGACAGGCTGAAATCGCAAAACAGTTGAATCTGCCTCTGTATGTGTCGCTCTCCTGGATTTGTATTTTTGTGGTAATAATGTTATGGTCTTTCATATAGCACTGCATTTTGTCTATTAGGAACGTACACTCAAGATCTGCTGGACGACCAACCATCCATCTTCTGAAGGAGTTGGGTATGCATAACAAAACAATGCATTGACAAGGACTGTTGCATAAATTGGTTGCTTTTCATGATCATGGCATCTGTTTTCAGGTGTAGAGAATGCACTTCTTCATGCATTTGACGGAAAACCTTCGGTTGCGATGGAGGGTGTAAAAGCTGGTTATTTTTTCTCAATACCTCCATCCATTGTCCGAAGCGATCAGGTAAATCTAACCTACGTTTAATAACATTTGACTTCTCGTGCCAGTATTTGCAAGGTCTGTTTACAGTATGTGCTCTACTAATAGACATACTACTAATCAGGAATAAACTATAATATCAAATCAAAACTCTTCTACTTCAGACATTCTCTCAACCAAATTCATGAGGTTTATGATTTCAAATTTTGGTTTGGTTAATTAGTGCACATATATATAAATTACAAAATTGTCTACAAACTAATTTTGAGCATTTAAAAAGAAGCTTTTCTAAGAAAATCTCATGAGAAACATTCACTCGAGCGTGTACAAACTTGAAACTGGTGGTGTATATCTGTTTGTGTAAATTCTATGTGATTAAACACAATTTATTAGTCACACATCACATGTTTGTCCACCTTTTACAAGAAGCAGAAGCTTGTGAAGCAGGTTCCTCTGGAGAGCATGTGTTTAGAGACGGATGCTCCTGCGCTCGGGCCTGAAAAGCAGGTACGGTGGATTACATAAACATAAATGACCAAATGTTTCTGAAATGTATTTACATCTGTGGTTTTACTCTAGGTGAGGAATGTACCAAGGAATATCAGCATCAGTGCCGAATATATTGCAAAAATCAAAGGTGTTCCCATGGAGAAGGTCATAGAGGTCACTACCCAGAATGCCCTGCACCTCTTCCCCAAATTAAAAACATTTATCAAAGCTTGACATTAATGGGCTCCTCTGCAAAGCTGCTTTTTTTAGCAAAGTTGTTTTGTTGTGCAGAAATTATCAAGATACAAATGTATGTATAATGCCTTTTTTTTTTTTAAGAGGTCATGTTTATTTTCATTTATCTGACTTAAAAGTGTAAAGATTAATGCACTTTTTTTAGTGCATTATGTATGTTGGGTTTGAAACATTTATTTTCGTCAGTGTTCCTTTAAATTTTTACCACATTGTTTAATAAATATATTGACATATGCCACAGCTGGGCTAAAAATAGCATCTGTTCTTAGATAAAACATTACTTTTTGAACACTTCATAATCATATCATTGCGTCATGCTTTATGACAAAACGTGTGCCTTAGAAAAACTGTAATATATGTTCTAAAGTTTGCATTCATATATTCATTCAACCTGTGTAGATTAATGTAATGAGAAGCAAAAATCACATGTCAGTCCATCGGGTCCTGGCACTGTAAGCAGTAAGCCACGTCATCGGTGTGCGTCTCTGTCTGAATGGTGATATTACTGAATCCATATTCTGTCTGGAGTAGGCTGGTCATGTCCATCAGCACAGTCTGTGGGTTGGTTTGCTCATCTGGAAAATAAAGCATTCATTTGGGTTAAAACTACAGAGTAAGCTGACCAGATTTCTGATATAGAAACCTGAATTTCCTAGTTCAGTGGTCATATCATTGAGATTTGACTTTTTATTACCTATGATTAATAAAACAGAAACAATACATTTTTGTAATTGTGGGTTCCATGTATTTTATTATTAATTATGATGATGTTTGCAGTGAAACTGACCCCAACTGGTTTTAATACAATTCACCAAAATAACACTATGAATAGTAAATAGTAATACAATTGCAAATGGCAAACAGATCAAAATGGTATTATATAATGACAAAATTATAACTTTACAAAAATAAAATAAACATGGGAACACACAAAAAATAGTTATAACTTAATATTTTCATAAACTGTATATACTGTAGGCCTATACAGTAATTACTTTTATATTATTATTTTCAAATGTTATTTTGTTTCTGCTTTTGGAAATATATCTTTAATATCCCTTGTTAGGTTTATTATTTTGCATTTTAGGCTAATTTAGAGCACAAAGTATGTGCTTTCTGCAAATGTAATTGTTGCAAGTGTAATTATTTAGATTATTATTATTATTATTTATTCACCTCAGATTGTACTTTCACCCATGTGTTATAGTTGTATAGATGTGTGAGGGAAATCATGTGTTGTGACTAGGGTTGCCAACTTCAGAAAAGGAAAATAAGGGACAGTCGTGGTTCTTTATAGGAAAATAAGGGACACTCAAAATATTTGTAATTTACCACATAGTGAATGTCATTTCAGTGTTCGGTAAGTTATGTATGTGTATAAAAGGTTCTCGGACATAAACATTTCTTTTGCTTAACCTATACATTTTAATTCTAAAACAGAATTGGAATGTCATACAAAAAAAAAAAA